TGTAATAATCTAGACAAATTAAAAATGCGTAATATGATCGAAATACTTGAACTACTAGGTAATACGAAAATGCATCACATGTTTGTTACAAACATTTGGATCACTAATCTTTTACATTAGAGAAAAACAAAAACAAAGAAAACCTTATCCAACAATTTACCCAAGGGAATATATATGGGCAGGTGCAGTAACAGTAATAATAAATATTATTGTTGACCCTAGCTCTTAGGGTTAGGGATTAGTGCCCCACTAATGACTCCGGTTCTTCTGACACTGCCCCTTCTTAAAATAAACTTCCCTCTAATTAAGTTAACCATGATCATTTGTCAGTTCTGTCCTCCACCTCCCTTCATGAGCAGGGCATCTTTCTATATACTTTTGCGACAACTATACAACAGGTAAGTGTGGAAAAAAAAGAGTAAAGTCCTAATTTCTACTCTTAATATTCTTGATAAACTCCTCTTACTTTTCTTTTTTTACCAATCATGTACAATCAAGCATGCCAACTAAGTAGATAGGTTATAAGTGGATTACTTATCTAACATTGAATTTTTTTTTTTTTGTGTGTTTCTATTAGGGTTTTCACTGTGAGTTAACATAATCATCTCTGAAGGAGAGTTAACTAAAAACAACCATTTTATGAAAAAAGGGGTGATTTAGATGAGAAATTAAGCATAGAGGTTGATGGTGTACTACTGAGGTTGGATTATACCGTGATAGAATTACATTATGATAAGAGAGGCCAACTTCCAATATAAAGTAAAATTACGTGTAAAATTTGTAATTTTTTTTGGAAAATAATACAATCAGTAATGGATTCCTTCCCACTAACTTTGATAAATGTTTTCTTTGTTGCACTTGTGGAGAAGGCTTGTTAGTTTTCACATTGCAACCAACAACTTTCCATAAGGGAATTAAAAAGAGAAGGGGCATATGGTTGCTGGTAAATGAAATTAATAAGTTAATTAACAAAATCAAAGCATACAGCTAGCGTATAAACCATCGATAATCGAGTCCAAATTGTTAATGGGGATGTGGTTAATAAAGTCAAATGGCCCCCCGAAAATTGATCTCTAGCTAATTACATGGCTAAGAAATGAAAAAGGTAAAAGGTTGATGATGAGATGATAGCCGTTGGATATGGAGGGAGTCTAGCTGTAATCGTCGTGCATAAACGTGGAAGGGGAAGGGAATATTATCGCAGGTAATGATAGGCCAAATTGGGAGAGTAGAAACTACAAAGTACACAAGCTCCCTCCCTAGATTAATTAAAGTTTTAAAAATTAACAATCATTAGCAGAGGAAATTTAAACTAATGGAGCAAGTGCACATTTCCCAAGAGGTGAAAAAATTATGTTTATGGTGAAATCCCATGGAGGGTCATCAAGTTTGAATAAGACAACCACTTGATCCCTGGATGTTTAACATCATTCAAAGTTTGCCCATAATTGAGATTATAAATAACGAAAGCTCGAAACTAACGGCCAACAAGGATTATCAAAGTCAGACTCTATCATCGAGCCGAATTCAATCCACTTGAAATGGTATATAATTGATTGAAGTTTTATAGTGAGAGACGAGAGTGAGAGTATATTAAAACTCACATTTTTATATTGAAATATAAATTAGATTTTGTGAAACTCTGAACAAATTAACTCAAATTGACGAAGTAAAGCTTCTATATAGAAAATCTAAGAATCAATTTATCCTCCACTCAACCCCATTGATCGATTCCCTAACCCCTACAATACAAACTCTCCTCCTTTTTGGTTCAACACCTTTAATATTTTGTTTTTTGGTTGTTGTAATTACAAGAGATTTATTGAGTTGGCGATAAGGTCATTTAGACCAACCAAGATGAAGTTGTAATTAGGTCTTTGTTTCTCTCTATTTTTATGCAATGGGGAATAGTTTTATGTGATAGTTTCCTTGTCATGGTAGTTGCTACTAAATCTAAGATTCAAGCATAAATAAGACTTATAATTCTATAATTTCTTACCGTTATATTTAGGGTGCTTGTTATTCAAGCCAAGATGTTACAGTTACATAAAAAATGATCGAATTAGACTCATCAATCAGTTTGCGTATACCATATTGAAGACCCGTAAACAAACATAACACGATTTTTTCCCCTGTTATCGAGGATGGAATTGTTCAGTTTCAAAGTTAGAGGACTAGAGTTGTGAACGGGCCAAACCCCAAGCCGCCCCCGCACATCACACCCCAAAATTTAGAGGAAATAAAGAAACAAAATGGAGCAGAGGAAGCCGGCTGTAAACTTGGGAGGAAACGGAGAATCACAGAGACAAAAACCTGCAAGCGATCATTTCTTTTATTGAATTTTCCCGGTGGGTTTGAGTACAGAACATGATCGACCAAGAAGAAGACAGTAAGCAAGTAAGAGCACTGGGCTGGGCTGGGAGACGATTATTTTAAGAGCCTTACCCATGAGTGATGAGATGAATTCTGGAGTTATTCTGCTTTAACTAATAGCTCAATTATTGAACACCAAGATTGTACTACCTAGTTTACTACCGGTAATAATAATAATAATAATAATAATAATAACAATTTCACTTCGCATTTTTGTAAGAGAAGGAGTTGAAGTTAAAGAAGTCTTGGTCTGGGTAGCACAGGAAATACATGTAAAGTTTAGGGATGACAGTTTTATCCCAATCCATTGGTATTTTTATTTATCTAATTCAAACGGATTGGGTATGTAATCCAAATAGAAGGTAAATAGGTAGAGTTTTAAGTTTTTGCCTATAACCACTAATTTGTGTTGGTTTGAGTTTTTAATCCATGGATTTGGGGTAGTATAGTACTCATTCCGTATGAAAATTACAATTTGATACAAAATTTAGTAGATCTTGAGAATTAGTGTCTAAATCTTTTTTAGGTTTTTTGCATATAAGCCTTCAAAAATTATCGATGGAAAATCATCAGAAGGCTAGTAATAGTATACAAGTGAAATATTCACTGTGAGCTAGTTTAATGATCTTGTCCATAGTAAATAATCAAAAGAATATTTTCTCGAAAATATTTGTGGTCCCCAAAAATTATATAAGTACGAAATAAACGATTTAATGAAGTGAGCCACAAGTGAAAACTCTAGCTGAAATTGTAGTCCAATAAGACCTCAAAACCATAACAGAAAGGAAGCTATCTAGCCAACCAATATGCATGATGGCTCACATATGTGCTTTCATTGTTTGTACCATAGAAGTAAAAGGAAACAGAAGTACAATTTTTTTTTTTTGGTTCCTTTGCCTTGGTAATTTGTTTTTTTTTTAACTTGTGTCATCAATTTACCTATGTGAAGGGTTTGAAGGAAGGGAAGAGAGAGGTCAGAACTCAGAGGAGAAGAAGGCATTGAAAGAGGACATGTTCATGTGGGGTGACCTAGCTGGTGTTACCCTTTTAAGTGACAGCCTTCCCCTCCCCTCTTGTTTTCTATACTCATTAGTAATGCTTGCTTTAGAATAATCCATTTTCATTTTGTAAACTTACCGTTGTTAAGTAGTTAAGGGATTAATTAATGAATTCTTTCTTAATTATATGCTTTGCAGAATAAAGCTTCTTGCAAATTACCTGCTCAAACACACACACACACCTTAACTCACTGTTGACAACTAACTAATGCAAGCTTAAAGTTTTATGATTTAAGTAATAAGCAAGTAGCATATACACTGATAGATGTGTATGATTAAACAAACAAGTCCATGGAATGGAAGCTTGTTGTCTCCATTGTGTGCAACACTACTACCAAGTTTTACCTACTATAAACAATTTTTTTTTTTTGTTAATTACCATAATTAGGTCTTAAATTAATGGTTAGCATTAGTTGTCTAGTAGTGCTATTAAGTATCAACTACAAGTTTCTCTCTTTTCAAACTCATCCCTCCTCTCTCTCTCTCAACTTCCTTTTCACCTTTGTTTGAAGTAAAGCAACAATTTAATTTGGTAATGTCAAAGGGCCTCCAATACCCAACTCACTTACTTCTCAAAGTGGAAAAAGAAAATCATACCTCAAACCAAAAGTGTAAAAGTGAATCAATCATTTTTAGCTACCCTTGCTTGCTTTGCTTACCCCCTCTCCTTTGACCGCCTAGTTGAAGGAAAAATAATTAGAAGCAACTTCTTCTTTTTGATGATCATTAGTTCAAAACATATTCCACTCCATCAATTTTTTTATCCTAGGTAAATAGGTAAATTGACATAATTCTTTTTTTTGGTTGGAGTAATTTGACATAATTCAACGGTAATGAAATGAATGTATTGCGGTTAATGTCATTTTACACGTAATTGAAATCATTATGCGATAGATTGATAACACATAAATTGCATAACTAATTTTTCTACATAATGTCAAACACTTACAATGATAAAATAATTTGACCAGTCGATAGCATCAACGTGGCAAAACTTACATTAACGATGAATTATTTGTGCAAACCATTGGAGAAGAGATCGTAAGCACCTATATTGCATATCAATTACTCTATGAAAGACAAAAACAACTTATATGGTAATATCATAACTACATAATATGACTTTAATACCTTAGTGAGTAAAATCTTACAATTATTTCATGAATGGTTTAATTTTATTTACCTTGCCTAAATCTATAGTAAAAAAGCAACTTATCCATCAAAATTAAAATTCTAGCCTAATGTATAAAAACATACACGTTTGGTAAAATAGTAATAGAGACCCTTAGAAAAGCAAAGCCATTATGTGATCAAATTTGAATTATGGGCTCTTTTCCATTTCCCCTTCTTCTTTCTCACTTATTACTCTTTTGCAACCTCTAAAGAAAGAAACAAACAAAAGGAAAGGAAACAAAATAAAATAAATAAATGGGAAAAAAGACACTGGCAAAAAAAAAAAAAAGAGATTAAGAAAAGAATCTAACCCATATGAATAAGTTATTGACGAATTTACCCCTACTCCTCTACTCCTCAAAACCCCCACCACAGGGCCACCAATCTTCTCCCTCAGCTCTCACTCACTTCCCCTTTTCTCTCTCTACACTCTTCACTTCTCTCTCGCGCTCTGCAACCACAATTCTCTCCTCTGTTTTTCACTATTACATCAATGGAGGCGCCTGAATACTACATGAGCGGCTACTTCGGCGCCGGCGTCCCGGCCGCCTTCGCCGACTACTCTCCGGAGAAGAACCAGAAGCTCCCCTCCGACTCCTCCCATTTCGTCGTCGACGACCTCCTCGATTTCCCCAACGACGACGACGCCATTATGACCGACGGCTTCTTCGACAACATCGCCAAAAATTGCGCCACCGCCACCGCCGATTCCCCCGCCTTCACCTCCAATGACAGCTGCAATTCCTCCTCCACCTCCGCCGGCGCCAATCCCGCCGCCTACCAGAGCTTCGCCGATTCCCACTTCTCCAGCGAGCTCTGCGTTCCGGTAATTTTTTACTTCCCTAATTTATAATTAATTATATTGATTTGTTGATGGATAATTTTAATTTTCCCTTTGGGTAGCAATTAATCTGAATTCTCTGTTTTTAATGTTGTGCAGTACGATGATATGGCTGAATTGGAATGGCTCTCCAATTTCGTGGACGACTCCTTCTCAGCTGACCAGACCTACAACCTCCACATGCTACCCGGTTCGAAACCGCACACACCCGACTCGTCCTCCTGCGAGACCCATCTCGAGCCAATGGGCCGGAACATGAACCACCCCATGTTCCAACCGGACACCCCGCTCCCGGGGAAGGCTCGGTCCAAGCGGTCACGAGCTGCTCCAGGCAATTGGACCACCCGCCTCCTCCACCTCGCGTCTCCCTCGGCCAAAGGCGCGTCCAAGAAGCAGCAGCAACCACAACCACAACAACAAGAGGGTCCGACACAGAACTCGAGCGGTTCGGGTTCGGATGCAATTGTGCGGAGGTGCTTGCATTGTGGGTCGGAGAAGACCCCACAATGGCGGACCGGGCCCATGGGCCCGAAGACGCTGTGCAACGCGTGCGGGGTTCGGTACAAGTCGGGCCGGTTGGTTCCGGAGTACCGGCCAGCGGCCAGCCCGACGTTCGTACCGGCCAAGCACTCGAATTCGCATAGGAAGGTTTTGGAGCTGAGGAGGCAGAGGGAATTGCATGCGGCGGCGCAGCAGGAGCAGTACCTGAACCCGAGCTCGTATTTCGGTGTGCCCAACGGCGGAGATGAGTTCTTGGTTCATCATCACCACCATCATCAACATCATCATCACCCTGGTGGCCCCAATTTTACGCAGATGATTTAGTGGCGGGTGTACTGATCAAGACAAGAGAAGTAGGGAGGATAACCATCAACTTAATTTTCTTAATCATAGTTATTTTTCCTTTAATTTGTTTTTTTTTTTCTCTCTTTTTCTTTTTGTTGTCGTGTAAGCTAAAATTTCAATTTTTAGTCGTTCAATTTTTGGGGGGTTGCAAAAGGAATTTGTAGAATTAAGTGGAGAGGAGAAAGACTACAAGAGAGTAGTGCTCTAGCAAAATCAAAATGTAACTCTTCATTTTGGGATTTTTCTGCCAAAAATTGGCCATTAATTCAGAACTAATTTTCCAATTTTCATTTAATTACCTTTTTTTGTTTTTTTCGCTAAAATTGTTCAAGAATGGGAAAGTGTGAAGAAATTAAAGTTGGGGTTTGGTTGCTTCCATGACGAGCAAAGGTTAAAGGGGAGAGCTTTTCTTTAACATGGGGTTTATGATACCCACCTTCTCTTTGTATTTTGATCAAAAGATGGCTATGTACTAATAATGTTCAATAAGATGTACACTCCAATGTAATCGGCTTCCCGAGGTTTGAGTTTGGTCAATAACATTAATTATAATTGTGCAATGTAAGCGAGATACCTTGCTTTGAACTAGATAGAGTATTGTGTGAATTTGTGGACATACTAAACTAGTACTTCAACGTTATAGTAATAATTCAATTTGTACATATACATTTTTTTACAAATTTTTTAAGTATACAAACTAAATTTGTATCTTTAACGTTATGGTACAAATTCAACTTGTAGGTGAGCCACCAACGCTTCAAGGATAGTAGTTGGACTCTCATGAGTTATGACTGTACATGGGCGCTAGGCCGTGCTTGGGCCGGCATGGCACGGGCACGCTTCGGGCCCATTTATTTCGTGTCGTGCTTGGCACGGCCCGTTAGTTTTCGTGTCGCTTTGCTAGGGGCCGCCCAGGCCCGGGCACGGTTCGAATCGTGTCGTGCCTATTCGTGCTCGTGCCATGCTCGTATTCGTGTTTAATGAAAAGGACGAAAACAAAAGAGAGAATGAAAAAGAAGGTGAAAATTGGACGGAGGAAGATAGTATTAACCGCTAATGTTTGAGAAAAGTAACAAATCAGGGGGGAAAGAAAATTGGAAGTATAGCGAGTGTGATTTGGCTTTGTTTAATTCTTTGTTCATTTTTACGCATGTTAGTAATTATGTATATATCTTTATGACACATCTAACAATAATAAATAATTATTTTTCTACTTGTGTTTTGTAATATTTGAACCTATAATTCTTTTTACATTTATTTTCTATCAAATAAATATTATTTTCGTGCCATGTCCGTTCTTATACTCAATAAAGTCTAGAAAATATTAGGCCTGACACGACCCACTTATATATCGTGCCGTGCCCGTGCTCGTGCCCATGAAGTTTAGGCCCGGCACGGCCCATAAATTATTGGTACTCGTGCTGGGCTGGCCCATTTATTTCGTGCTCGTGTCGTGCTCTAACCGTACCGTGTCGTGCTAGCCCGTGGGCGGCACGACCCGGTGCCCACTTACAGTTATGACCCTCTCATAAGACTAACTAATAACATTTTTCAAATTTGAAAAATACTATGAAATGTTATATGCAACTAAAAAGTAAAAACTAACATAGTTCCCTTTTTTGATGGTCCTCTGTTATCCTACTACATTAACTCCTCTCCCAACAGGGATAGTGACGCAGGCAATATATTTAACCAAATATATGATAGTTCGTTTGGGGGAAAGGCCATTCTTTATCCCATTATTTCCCCCGCTACAAATTTATTATTTTTTCACATAATTAAAAGATGGAGCCAAGGTGACATTATAAAAAAAAAAGGAAATCGAAACAATCCGTTTGTGACAATTTTCAAGAATCAAAGAAGTGATGTGTTGATGAGAGTTAATGGCCCCCTGTTGAGAGGAAAGGGAGGGTGTGCCCATACCCTAAAATACATTTTGCACATGAGGAGTTGGTTGGCCAATTCATTGTTCTTTCTTTGTCCCCCCCGGCCCAATTCTCTCTTTTATCTCTTTCATTCTTCTTCTTCTTCTTCTACTATATTATCTTTACTAGGTTTTCTAGCTCTTGATTCAAAGCTAAGGCATCAGCATTTGTTTCAGAAGAAAAAAATTAATACAGGGTAAAGGATGTACATACCAATCACTTCGGTGGGGAAGAAAATTGATATACTTTCGGATGATGATAAATGTAAATCAAGATTTTTTAAAATCATTGCTTACTTCAGTACTTTTAATTCATTTCACTTCGGTTTACCTCGTTCCTTTACACGAAACTTGGTCGAAACCCACTTAAACAAAATATGGATAGGAGAAGTTATTTTTACTCCTAAAAAGAGGCATCGTTTGATTCATGGAATTCATCACGGATTTGGTAACTTAAAACTAACCACCATGGATTTTGTTTATAATCCGTCGTTTGTTTGATAGATTTAGCAGGAATAAATTCGTGGGGTCCACGGACTTTGAGGGTCCAAATCCGTGAACTCCACGAACTTGAGAATACAACCCCAAGAGGTGAGATTTCTGTTGGGGTACAAAGTCCATGATGACTATTTACAATTTTAACCCTACTTATTTCACTAATAATCAATTTATCCTCTTTCATTTACTAATGACCAACTTGTAGTGCGTATTATTTCGGCATTCAATATTCATTATTATTCATTGCACGCAAGCACTACATGATTAATTCCAAAGCATAATTTGCAACTTTGAAAACCTTAGGGAATTGTCTAATTGTGTGTATAATATGAAGTTGTTATTGATTAATTATTTTCATTTGTTCCGATTGTGATAGTGGGACGAAACTATTGGATGAAAATTGCTTTATATCAAAAAAATTATAATATAAAAATATATAATTCTCAATAAGGGCACTAAGATAAATTTCTAATACAACCATAAATATGACAATGTCAAATCCATCATGAAATCCAAAAAGCAAACGATGATTTTTACCAAAAAAAAACCATCTATGAAACAAAAGACTCCTAAAGTTGTTAAATACTTTTAGATGGAAGTTACTGTATGGAAGAATTGAATTGGGTCCTGAAAGTATGGGGCATGGAATTTGGTGATGAATAAGAAATTGACAAGAAAGAAGGGAAAAGGAACGGAAGGAGTGGGAAGTTAATCAGCCAACTAAACATCGTTCTCACTACGTATACCATCCACATTGAAGTTCGGTGAAGTATGTATGAAATCAAGGTACGTATTAATGGGAGGTCCAAGAAAGGGAAAAGGGTAGTCTTGCCAAGATGCCTCTTTTGTTTATTCTTGTATCATATAATTCCTTGGTCCTTGTTTTTATTCATCATCATGAAATGGTATGGAAGGAATAGCAAACCTGACCACTCCGGTCCGATACGATAACCATCTACGATACCATTTAATTTTATACAATATACAAATATATATAATTTTTTTTTATATGACGACACATTATAACAATTTAATTAGCGAATAGCGACCCATGCAGTATTCACTTTTTAACAAAAGTACTATATTGATAATATGGTAACAGTTGAATCCTAATTGTACCATTGAATTCCACTTCTCATCCTAATTGTACCATGGAATTCCACTTCTGTAGGCTCCAACCTATTATTTTATATGATTTCTCGGCATGGTTTCATACATCATATTGATCGTTTATTTAACGATTAAAATGCAAAGTCATTTCAATTTGACCAAACGGTATTTTTGGCTGCTTAGCTTGCAAAATGGTGCACAAGGTCATGTGCTCGGAAGTGTATTAAATCAACTTATTACACAAATAAATTGATAAAAAAAAAGAAACAATTAATTGGTTGAAGCTATTATTTCCTTGAGTGTGGAACATGGTGGGGGTGATAAGTAATTGTCCACCTGATCCTAGACATTTGCCCTTCCATTGGGCCCCCCATAAATTAGACATATTGTTGATTTAGGTTTGATCATATCATACGTTTTCATTTGTTATTATTCTAATTTATGAGTCACATTTGTAATAATGTGTGTCCTAGGTTTTGATCGTCAAATTTTGAATTTGATGAGATTGTCTAATTAAGTGGTAGTTATCATTGGGTCTTCATAATTAATTAAGTAAAATACCATTTGTATATTTGTTGATTCATGCTTAAATTATGCTAACCGATTTAATTTGGGTTGTTTCAAGTTGTTAACATTCTGTAATTGTGAGAGAATTTCTCATATATGGATGTTTATTATTCAATAGCAACTTTTAGGGGTGGGATATGGTCACTTCCCTCAAGCGGGTTGTGAGATTCACAACCAATGGTACTTTGGGCATGAAAAAAAAAATGAACTCATTAATTAATTTTTTTTGTATTAATTACAAATTGAGAATTAAAAACCCATATTAAATACATGCTTTTTTAAATTTAAATTCTACAATAAATACAACTCTCTCTTTCTATCTCTCTTCCTTTTCCAGCAGTCAATCTACTCCGACTGGCTAACTTTCCGACCGACAGACTTTCTCTGGCGAAATCCTTGAATCAGACTCTCTCCGGCCACCTGCAAAAAATTCTCACTCCGTCAGTGCGCTAGTGGTACGCTACCACTACCAGTCCAGAGCTAGTGGTAGCGTACCAGTACCATCCGGTACCTGGTAGTGGTAGCGTACCACTATCATTTGGTACCACTACCATTTGGTACATGGTAGTGGTAGCGTACCACTACCACTACTATTAAGCAAAAACTATCACTAGTCACTGGTACGTACCATTGATAGCGATACCAGTGATAGTGGTAGCGTACCACTAGAGAATGACACAAAAAAACCAGATATGGAATCTAAAAAATCCCAAATATGAAAAAAAAAATCAGGAGATGAGAGGAAGGTAGCGGACAGACGGTGACCTCGCCCCGGCGACGTGAAGACAGAAGGTGGGAGGCAGAGGAAGGGGGAGGTAGATGCGGTTTGGTGGTGGTGGTGGTGGTGGGTGGCGATGGCAGCGGGAAGTGGAGGTTGCGCCATGGTGGGAGGTGGTGACGGAGGGAGACAGCGGCGACACGACTAGATTTTTTTGTGGGAGAGAAGAGAGAGGGGAGAGATGAGGGAGAGAACGTGAGAGGAGGGGAGAGTGAATTTTTTTTTTGTTGTTAATAAAGAGGGTTTATATAGAAAATAGGAAAGGTAATTATGTGGTAACTTTTTTCATTTCGAAAATATCCTTCCTTTAATTTTAACCATCAATTTGAAAAAAATAAGAGAGAGACAAGAGAGAGAACGTATCCAATGGCTAGGAAGTGAGTGTGAATCTCACAACTA